GGCGGTTTGCCAATCGAGCATCAAGTGACCATGATATCCACCTCAAACATCAAGCCAGAAGCCAAACTTACACACAACCCAACAGCATGAAGTCGCTCGTTTCTATTCCAGATTATCCGTTATTTGTTATCATTTATCGTGAACCTTCGAGAACCACGGCAACCCTGTGTTCTTCGCCAAGCCTTGAATTCCCATGTTATACAGGGTACTATACACTCTATCCAGCTTTTGATACAATCCCTATTATCACTTACATCTCCAACACTACTCCAACCTCTCTATACTTTCTGTCCGCATAGACAAGCCCAAAATCCTCATCCTCCTCTTCCCCAACCCTCACCATCTCTACTACCTCTCCCACCACGATGACATGATCTCTCACTCTCAAGAGTCCTCCCTCTGGCGCATCTTGGAGTACCCTACACCGAAGAGCAAACATGACACCGTCCTCTTTTAGTATGGGCGCTTCGTCATCTTCTTGGGTATATTCCAGTCCCTTAAATGCATTCCCTCCAAAATTGCCTCTTGTGAAGTGACTCGCAACATTTGCACCTCGTTCATCCCCTGACAAGACGTGTACGTTGAAACCACCGCTTGCTCTTATAGCATCTAGAGTTCTGCTCGGCGTGGCAATGTTGAATGTGACGAGAGGTGTAGGTGCGAGTGTCAATGAAGTAAAAGACGACATCGTCATGGCGCGAGGGCCATCGCCAGGTTGGTTTGATGTACAGACAACGACACTGTGGGGGAGGAGACGCATGATAGAGCGTAGCTGTTCGGAGAGAGGGACTTGTTTCGTTGGATGGACGGTCGGAGGTTTGGCTGGGGATGTATGCCATGTAGTTGTAGTCGCAGTTGTGTGATTTCTTCTATCTACAGTGTAGCATTAGCTAGAGTAACAGGCCATGGCAGAACCACTCACGATGTAGCGCCGATTGCGACGAACGAGACCCTGAAATCGAAGCCATGTATCTTCCACAAACATCCATTCCTCTTATTGAAGGCTGGAGGCACCCAGTATTCCGCAAAGAGCTGAATCCTCTGGTCCCGCCTCTCGTCATGACAAGTACTGTCGCAGCGCCATTGCGCAACGCTCGGGAGCTCTTCATTGACCACCACAGCGCATTATCAACAAATGCACTGAAAATAGCCTCGAATAAACCGCAAAGAGGACGTGAAATCGCCTTGTGTAAAAAGGCGCCTTTTTATTTCACTTGTTCGCAGTCGGAGGCCGAGCCGGTCTAGAAATGACGAAGAACGATCATTTTCTTATCGATAAGATCCCGAACCCAGGAGGAATGAAAACTTAGGACCTTAACCCTAGATGACAAAAAGACTTAGGTCAGTTAGTATAAATTAAGTCTAAGCTTAGTATGAACTTAGGATACCTTTTACCAAATCTATTTTGTCATCTTAAATTTAGGTCCGTTGTTTTCTTCCCCCCTGAAGGCCATGCTTGGTGTACCCGCACTCGGACCTCGCATCCTAAATTTTACCGATCGACTTCAAGCCTACCTATCTGAAGCCTCACCACCAATCTAGGTCGTCAATCGCTGCCAGGGCCGTCAATTCGTCTTTTCCGGCCTCGCTCTGAATAGCGCTTCAAATTCACAATGGCCAAGTTCTCAGTATCGCCGGCGACTCTCTCGCCTCTACGAACAACACTCTCAACATCATGCTCACCAACCCGCCTCTCCCTCGGCCAAGTCCGTCATGCCACATTCATTCCTCGACCACGCCGACCATACACATTCACTCAGCTCGTCACCCTATCCGACGGCTCCGCATACACCATGCGAACAACTTCACCACTGCCCATTTACCGCGCTACAAAGGACACACGCAACACATTGCTGTGGCAGCCATCTGAGAAGTCACTCAAGAACGTCGAGCTTGATGAGGCTGGTAAATTGGCTGCTTTCCGAGAACGTTACGGCCGTGCCTATGATGCTTCTCATGCTGAGGAGGGTGAAGGCGCTGCTGAGGCAGCTGACGAAGGTTACGCGGATCTTATCACTGGATATGCGCCGACACAAGATGCGAACGCTATGAGGGATTCGGGACCCAAGAAGCAGGCAAAGAAGAGAAAGTAAACAATGATATAATAGAGGAAGAACAGCTCCACAAAAACCATAACCCATTGTCAGTTTGTGGGTGAAAATGAGTCTTGTATAAATTACTATTGAGGCCATCCGAGAATTGGAAGTATGAGGTGGATGGGGGCGGTTCGATATGTACAACAGCTATAAAGCTCCCCGAGGCTTGTAAGATATAAAAAACACGAGTCTCCGATTCTCGGAACTGATCAATAGTCAAACATCGCTGTGGACGTGAATATAATTCTTCCTCCCATCAGGAGCTCAACCTCATCGCTACCAGATAGAACCGCCAAGATGCGTAGGGGAAACCGACGCCCGGTCCATCTAGTCCGAGTCTTCGTCTATCCTCGCTCGAGCGCGGTCAACAGCAGTATCGCCTCCCTTTTGCTGCTGTTGCTGCTGATATACTGGTGGTCTATAAAATACTGACTCGTCGTCCTCGGCGTCAAGCTGCATCAAGAATGTCTCCCACTTCTCAATAAGCTGTGACAGGTTAGCAAGCTTCTATCTTCACCGCTTCCACTGTACTCACCTCCTTTTGCGCCTCAACTGCGCTTTCAAGGAATGTCTCAACACCACTCTTGAAGTCTTCCACCTTCTCCTTCTCGAATCGATCAAGCTCGCTCCTCATCAACCGGCCCATATCCTCGAAAAGAAGTCTGGCTTGGTGAACCTTGCGCTCTGACTCGCCCACTTCAGCGCTCATCTGGTTGAGTCTGTCTTGCTGACTCTTTCCTTGTCTCAAAAGCTTGTCCTGTGTGGCCTTCTTCTTCTGTAGTTCCGATTCCGCAGCATGCCATGAATAGAACGCCTTTTGTCGCTGGCCAAAAGCCTGCTTAACTGAACCGATGAGGCGAATGTACTCCTCAAGAATAATGCCGAATGTCAGAACATCTTGCTGGGCCTGGCGGTCGTACACATCTCGGATAGTAAGCTGGAGCTCGGAAAGAGCATCAAGAGGGCCTGATAGTGAGGGTGACAATTCAACGGTGGAGAGTGCGTGGAGGGAAGCTGAGAAATCCCCAGCTGCCTCGGCCATCATCTTACGTTGGCCGACCATGGTCTCCATAGCCTTGAGAAGTCCCTTGAGCTGATTCTCGAGAGCATCGAGATAGACCTTGCGATCATGGAACCAGTCATCCTGTTCCACAAACTTGTTTCCGCCTCCGACGTTGATACCCAGAGACCCAAGCACACCTTTACTCTCGGTAGGAATGGGTTCCCGCCTCTCCTTGTGCTTAACGTCCACATTGAAAGTTTCACTTTCCAAGAAAAGCTTCAGATCGGGATCGTGCTGGAGCGTAGGGTGCATCGCGGTCTTATTAAGCATCTTCTCAAGAGCAGCTCGTCGGCTCTCAACAAAATTGCTGTCGAAGCGACCGACAGCCTGCTTCTCAGGAGGAGGTGGAACCACAATTCCAGGGTTGTTGCCATGGAGAGTTGTGTAAAGCCAGAGGAAATCGCGATATCGGCGCTTGACTTCGAACTCGGGCTGTTTGTATCCTTTGGAAGTGGTCTGTTTCTCTGCGTAAGTGTTTGATTGAGTTAATTGGACACCGGCTCTTCATACCTTGGTTCGAACGGAATAGACGATGTGAGAACTTGTCAGATCGCCAACTTTGTGAGGATCTCCAACCGTAATCTGGAACGTCGGCTTGGCAGCCTGCTCAACACTAACGCTCGGCTGATTGCTGCTCCTAACGGCACTGGGCTGGGCAGCCTCAACGGGAGGAGGTGCGCGAGGAGCTTTTGGCCCATCGTTCTCGTCATCGTCGATATGGTGAGGATCCGCAGGTCGTCGCTGCTGCTGGGGCTGCGGCATGGTGGTACGAATTACCATCTGCTCCTTTTGCGGAGGCACCGGAGGGGCATCCTGGGCAGGGCCATTGTCTTCGGTGGCGGCGCCGAGAGGACCGAGAGGATCATCGACAGCTTCGAGACGTGTGGGTTGAGCGACCAGGCGACGAGGTCCTCTCGATGGACGAGGGGCCGACGAGGAAGCGGAGGGAGCTGGATTGGACGATTGCGAGGCCGCGGTTTCAGGCTGCGATGCCTGTTGCGATGCGGCCTGTGATGAGTCGGCCCAAGGCGATTCTTCGACGTCCATATCTAATTAATGCGATCGCGAGACGCTACTCTGTTGGGATTTAAAGTCGTCGAAGTTGATAGAATGGGCTTGAGAGGTAGAGGTTGGAAGCTTGGGGAGCATGCGGACGTCAGCGGAGACGGCCCCACTCTTCCCCAGGCAGGTACGTATTGTTATATCAGCCAGCTTCAACTTACACTCCTCCAAGGACTGCCCTCGGGAGCAAGAAAACACCAGATATTAATAGCAGGTATTAAAATAAACCTAATAAGAGATATCTTAAGCTTAATAAGAATATCCTAAATTTATATAACTTTCCCTAAATCTTTTTATCACTTAAGATTAGGGTTCTAAGTTTTCTTCCCTCCCCTAGACTGCCTAGGTACTTAGTTACTAACCTACCATAGAATACTCACACATACAACCAGTAGTTAAACATGGCCATATCGTTACAGTATTCCGTGGTTATTACTCAGATTCTATTACTATAGGACATCCATGCTCTGTTGCAAAGAATGACATCAGCCCCAATACGATTTCCTGTGGACTGCTCTCTATTCCAGCTTGTTCACTGAAACCAGTCTCTTTATCTAGTCTCGATCGGAATCATCCTGCCCTCGCTGTATATTCTTAATACCTATGATCATGACTGCTATACGAAGGTAGCCCATTGCGCCTCTCCTGATTGTCTGGCCCAGTTTCATCGTCGACTATTTGCGAGGTCTCGCCGTCAGCCCCAAATCTATTCCAAACTTAGCGGCAAATTGTTGCCTTCGCCGTTTCTCGCGAGCAACTGGGTCGACTGCCTCCCGCTCCTAACGTTCGGGGTCGTAACAGCCGCCTACAATTACCAAGTTCATCCGTGTAAACTTGACCTTCATCACTGGTGTCTTCTTCGTCGGGAACGCGCTGATCTGATCGGGAGTGATCATCACCTCCTTATTCTTTTTCTTATGAGTTCCGGTGGTGCCGCTGGTACCCGCTGGTCCTGAAGTTCCGGCTGTCACGCGAGAAGCTTCACCAGCAGTGCCTCCTGCGCTTGTGCCATCAGCCCCTGTTGCTGTCGTATCGAGGCCTGTCTGTTGCTGGCTCGCCTTTTGGGGATCAGAAGGCAGCTCGACATCCCAGAGTCGGACTGTGCCATCTTGACCACCAGAAGCAAGCACGTTGGATTCAACGCTGAAGCTGAGTGACCAAATTCCGCCCTTACCGTGGCCACGTGACCGCTTGATGCGTGTTCCCTTCGCAAGGTCCCAAAAGAAGATGTTACCTGCACAATCGGCACTTGCTAGGATCTTACCATTTGGCGCGCATTCCAAGGCGGTGATATATTCGTTGTGGCCTGTGAACACGCGGACACAACCGCCAGTTACGACAGACCACATACGGATCGACTTGTCAGTCTCGTCAGAGGCGGAGAAGACATAGAGGCCATTAGGGTGCCATGCAAGTGCTGAGATGGACGTGTCATGCCCAACCAACAATCGTTGAGGGGAAGCATGATCTTGCATCCACAGTCGAACAGCTTTGTCGTATCCTCCACTGATAAAATAGTGTCCATGGGGACCCCAGAGTGTCCTGAAAGCTGGTCCATCGTGGGACTTGTAAAGACACAGGCAACTCCAAGACTCTAGTGACCACAGACGAATCTGGCCATCCGCAGATGCAGATAGCAGCAGCTTCGGTCTCGTGTCCATGGCAGGGTTCGACTTCCCTTCGTCGCCAAAGAGCTTCTGCGGAGGGCCAGAAACAGCATCGGAGAAGGACACGTCGTAAACGGGTCCGGAATGTCCGATCAATTTGCGGCTGTTGAACTTGGCTTCTTTCTCGTGCGCGTTCATCGTGGGTAAGGCTTTACCATCCAGCGACCAAACACGAATGTAAGATTCCGTGGTACCAGCTGCCACTAATTGTCCATCGTTGGAGAAGTCCATACATGCAACACTGAAGTTTGTTAGTATCAGCGGTCCCCACGGGGCTGTCAAAACTCACCTTCCAAGCGTGTTATGGAATGTAAACATGCATGCGCTGATAGGGACTCCCACGCCCCCCGTCGCCCCGTCGATCTTGAATCGGTCGCGATTCTCTCGAAGCTTTTGCATTTCTAGCATGATGTCCCTCGGCCTTGAGGGTGGTAAGGGTAGCTCTGCTCTGCTTGGGGCATCTGCACTCTCCTCACGTTTGATTTTTTGGTCGAACTCATCCACTAGCGATGTTTTTCCGGGAGGGGGCGGAATTCGTCGCTCCTCTTCCTCAAGCTCAGCTCGCACATCGTCGCGCAGGTCGGCATCCATAGGAAGTGGTCCAAGCTTCAGGGGAGCAGTTGGGTCGAGAACGTCCTTGTTCGACAAGCCAATATTGACGCCCGGGATACCTTCGTTGGTATCTATGCTCTCTATCTCCATGTTCCTTGACCTTCTGTAAACAGCTTCGAAACTGAAGGGGGTAATAGGTCCACGAGCTGTAGAATCAATCTGGCAGTAGGTTGCCAGGACTTGGCGAATCACGGAACCACCCTGATCAGACTCACGCTCCAGAAAGTTAAAAAGATCACCGCTGGCATGTTGGTTCAGGGGGATTCGGTACTTGTTTTCCCGATACAGCTTTGTCATGGGGTTCTCGTTTATGTGCTGTGGTAGTGTAATGGTACCAAGGGTCTTGAGATCATCCGCGTGTACCGGCTGGAAGTTGGGCCCGATGTCTCTGAGGAAAGCCTTAGCATCTTCAGTGTAGGCATGCTGGACAAGTTCCAGGAAAGAATAGACGAAGACGGGCCATAGCAGCTTGGACAGTTCGAACTGGGGTTGTAAGCAAGGGAAACAGTAAGAGGGTCACCACGGCATACCTTGTATATGTCCAAGTTGTTCTCGACCCACTCACGTAGAAGTCCAAAGGCTCGTTGGTACTTTTTGGGGCCGAGGTTGGCCAGTTGATAGATAGGCTTGCCATCGGGGCCGAGATGTTTAGATTCCTGACGAAACACCTCTTCGGTTCGGTTGAACCCCCTTTTGAGCAAGTAGTCCGTGACCTGTGCATTGAGTTCAGTGTTTGCACATTTCGGCGGAGGTTCCATGATAATTATGGTGCGCGAGCTGATCAAATATATGTGTTTGTAATGGATGTATGATGGTCTGCGTTACTGCGGCTCAAGATGAAGAGAAGTTGAGACAGGCACCCTAGACAGGATACATGGAGCCAATGTGCAGTATGGGCGATGCTTGATATGTGTTGTCATGGAAAGTGCTAAGGGGCAGATGATATAATGGTCGCCGTTATGTTGGTGGTGTAATGGAATGAGACGACCATGGAGATTCATCAAACAAACAAGTAGAAAGTGACTTACAATCTGGTTGAGGTTCTGATTCGACATTGGGCCTCCAGATGAGCCACTTTGGCCTGTCGCGGCGGTTGCTGCTGCGTGTGTTGGAGCTGGGGGTGTTGGTGCAGGTCCTTGATAGCCTGGCGCTTGAGGTGCGCCTGGTGTTTGTGCTGGCCCAGACATAGTGAAGGGCAGTGACTGTGAGAGAAGAGGGCGAGTTTGGATTGGAGCCTAGGTGTTCGAGCCAGCCTATCTAAGCCACACGCTGGAAGAGAGAGCGAGTGTCCCTCAGCGATATGTCATACCCCAGCTGTGTCTTTCGGATGGGGACCAGCTCCTGTCGCTCTTCAAGGTGATGAGATGAGAGGTCACAAACCGCCAGTCTGTGGCAGTGTCCTTCTTTATCGGATATTCGAAAGAGTTGGGGTCGGGTTTATCTTTGAATTAAGATGGTTCGAAGAAGAATGATTGTAGCTAAGAAGACGATGAGATCCCAAGGCTTGTGTGAGTTGTAACCTCGATTCAATAATGCTGAAAGTTAAAGTGAATCGTGGATGATCAAACGCGCCAAAGCTTAGCAGAGCGCGCCTGGAGGTTAACCGATGATTAAGCGGCGCAATATGATATTGAACTCTGCGAGACAATAAGAGGGTGGTACACACAACAATATCCAAGCTACTTAGGTCCAATAATTAATTCTCTTTTGTTGTTTCGCATCTTGGGAGCCTTCTCCCATCGTTCCTCCTAATTCATCGTGCTGCTGTCGAAACAATTGATTGAACATGCACGCACGGGCCGCCACCGCCATCTGCCAGTGACGACGGGTACGTACCTCTCACTTGATCTTTCATTCAATGAGATCCGTTTTGGTTGCACTTCAACTCACTTCAGCTTCATTATCACAGAGAACTCTCTTAGATTTCATTCATCTGCTTGCATCAAAGTAGGGCGATTTTGACGATTGAAAGCCTGATTATCTCTTCTGTGTATTTTCTTGGACTGAACCATCACAACCCTTTGTTCCAGCTGAGCCTTGTGTTGAATTGAGGGTTTGAGCATAAATCCAAAGACACAGCATCGTCAACTTCATCGCACTTCCACGAAAAGCTCTCAAAGTGCGGGCCACAGTCATGGCTTCCCCAAATGATGTCGAGATGGCTGGTGCCGAATCATCACGCAATGAGCCATTCACTATTGAAGAGAACATCCGCCAGCTCAACGCCATCGACCAACAAATCATCCAGCTCATGAAACACACTGCCACAGCACTCAACGCACTCACAATACCAAAAGCCACAGAAACCGACCAGAGCGTGGATCCATCAACCGAATCTACGAAGCCATCACTAGATCCTGGTACACAAAAAGAAGCCTTCGCCTCTGCGACAGATCAGTTCTTCCGGGCCCTTCACACCGTCGACGTCAAGATCAAACGCCAGGTCTTGGCACTCGAAGAAGCCAATATCATCAGTCTTGCTCCACCGCCTCGTCTGAATAAGACGGGTCCCATTATCCCACAACCGACGCCTAACGGAGTGGGAGCTGTGGGCATCATCGGAGCAGGTTGGCTGAACAGTCGAGGGACAAGAGTTGAGAGGGATATGGAGGCAGAGCTCTGGGGAAAGGCCAAGGAAATACTGAAGGAGAAGGAAGCGAAGCTGGAGTCGGGGTCACGATAAATGGGATTGGCCTGGGTGGTAGATACAATGTTGCTGGAAAGTTTAAGAAAGGAACCATTATCTTCCCGGTCATCCTGATAAAACTACAAATGAAACAACCCTTCAAAACCTTTGCTACACAATACAAATCCATTGACGATTGAACTTCATGTTCCAAGTCTAATAAGCCCAGCAAAAGATACCCTTAACTTGGGCTAAATTTGTACTAAGCTATCTAAATCTTTTTGTCATCTAAGATCAAGGCCCTAAGTTTTCTTTCCTCCCCTCGCTACCTACCTTACCTAGGGTAGGTAGCTACGGCAAGGTAGTATCGTACTGGTGGATGCTAAGAGAAGAATTGGGCGGATATACGGTCATCTAAACACAGCACTTGTAAAATGGAGTCCAATAAATCAGTGATCAGCTTCGAGTCTATTAATACCAAGACTTCTAATTCTTGGGGACGACTCCAACCATCGAACAAGCGATGGCCTTCATCTACCAGAGTCAGTATATTCCCGTTACTACGAGATGGTGAGGTCAATGCATGAGCTGCATTTTCAAGGGCTTCTGTTTATATTTTGGGTAATGGGCGACTATATGTCTAATAAGCTGCTCATGAAAACACTTGGCTTCAGACTCCAAGAGGACCAAGACTTGGTTGCAAACATGGCATTCTTGGATTCGGGTATATCGGACCCAGTCGACGCACGTTGCTCTATTAGCGGACAATAAAGCTCCGGCAACCCCCCTGGCGCTGCAGGAATTAGTGGGAAAGCACCGCGCCTGATATCAAAAGCAACCAATCACCATCGCGCTTTGTGTAATGACAGGCTGCCGAATGCTCCGGAATGACGCCCTCAATCGATGGAGCCCCCTGGAACCTCAAGTATGGAGGGCCCGAGGTGGGAAGTGGGAGAGGTTGGCGGCCTTTTTACTTGAACCGACACCAGGAAACAACTTTTGAGTTTGCCCAATTTCCTCATCTCCTTCTTCCTCGTCACCTTTGGTCTCCCTAGAGGAGTTTTATTCCGCCTCGTAGTACAAACGCAGTCTTTTGTTTGCTTCGCTCTCGACATCTCGCTATCTACTCGCTTATCGAGCCACGATCCCCCAGCGATTGCTGCTTACAATTGAATAATTTGGACGCCGCTAGACATCGACGATCCCCCACCGACGGTTGTTACGGCGGGAAGAACAGAGCCGAAACTGCGATTGCTCACAATTTGCACGGAGACATTGGATCGTGATATTGACGGAAATCCGAGGACGATACGGCCATGATTGGCGATTATAAGTCGAAGGCCATTGCGGCGCCTTCACTATCCAAGGTTGCGACAGTTGCGCTTCTCGTCACAGCTGTGAAAGCCCACGACCACGATGCAAGCCATATTCCTGAGGGCGAAACAGTCTCTTTGGAACCCTTAGTGCGTTTAACAGGCCTGGAAATCTGGACCAGCGGCTGACGAGTAGTAGGATACGGTATTATGGATTCACATCTTCATTCAGATGTTAGCGTACGGCGTTATCTTCCCTGTCGGTATGGTTTTGGGTGTAAGTAAACAAACCTACTCAGCCTTGGCACCACACTGACATCCACTAGATGACCAAGAATCGATGGCACGTTCCGACCCAAGCCGTTGGCACCATTCTCGCCATTCTTGGCTTCTTCCTTGGTCATGCGCATAAGGGCCGCGAGTTCATTCCCAATCACGTTCATGGCAAATTTGCGCACATTCTTCAGCTTCTCCTTGCCGCGCAGGTTGTTCTTGGACTATACCTCAAAGGACATTGGGAGAAAGGCATCAATGGCAGAATTCGAAAGCTGATCCGCCCGTGTCATTCTTTCATCGGCAAGCTCATGCCAGTCCTGTCATGGACACAGATGATCTTTGGTGGAATCACAGCTCTTGGCTTTTGCCAGGGAGATCATACTGGACAATGCGCCGCTCATTTCATTATGGGTGGTGCTTTCATCGCCTACGGAATTCTTCTCACCATTATCCTCGTTGTTGGCCAGCTCTGGATCCGACGACATGGTCGCTCGCAGGAGTTCTACGATAGCGTTGCGATTGCTGCATGGGGCTGCGTTAACACATTTACCGAGCATCGCTGGGGAACCGACTGGGTCAAGAACGATTGGCAACATACGACAATGGGAATCATCTGGTGGTGTGCTGGTTTGGCTGGTATCTGGCTGAGCAAGGACCGCGACGGAAACCCCAAGCGCAACTTCATCCCCGGCTTCGTTATTTTCATTACAGGCTGGGCCATGTCTGCCCATCCTCAGGAGCTGATGGTCAGTGCAGCTACGCATACAATGTTTGGCTACACCCTTATGGTCGTGGGCATTACTCGTATCATTGAGATTGCTTTTGTGCTCAGGGATGCTCACTCCATCTCAGAAGATGGCCGAACTGCCAACAGCTTCCAGTTTGTTCCAGTTTTTGTAAGTCAGCCTGCATTTCACAATAAAACTTAAGCTAACACTTACAGTTCATGTATGCCGCTGGCTTCCTTTTCATGGGCGCTACAGAGGAGCAAATGAATCTTGTGGCTGGCTCCGCTATGGACCACGTTTCGTACATCCTTATTACCTACTCGCTCGCCTCGATCATGTTCCTCTTCGTCAACATGCTCATTGGTCTCTGGGACCGCCTTGCTCACCCTGTACTGGACACCAAGGAGCTCGGCAACAACCACTATGCCAACGGGCTCGCGGTGGAAGACGGTCAACTGCGGGATGCCCAAGAATTCGAGTTAGATGGGTTGATGAGCGATGACGATGACGATCCTAGTCGAAGAATGCTCGGACCCAACAGCGAAGACAGCGCAGCTACTGTTGGACGAAACCAACAGACTCGTGCTTAGGGGAGGACATATGATCTCTCGTGAGAAGTACATTTGGGGAGGGGATGGTGCATACCTAGACTGTTCATAGGGGTATCTGGCGTCATTTTATGGCATGTGTATGATGTTTAAATGACTACTTGATGGCATGGGAAGCGGCATTTTCAGAATTGTATTACTTAGACATTCGAGGCGCAATTGATTGGGATTCATGAATAACATTTTGTCTCCTCGTGTTGAGTCTCTGGAGGAGGCGTTCTGGAACATGCAGCTCTGCCGATCCCCGCGGCGGGGCACACTTTAGCGCATTCCTTACCGAACCTCCACCGAGTTTTTCGACCCCAGTAAAAAAAAAGTTGAGAGCCTTATCGCAGAACTTCCATCACCAAAACCAACCTACACATACAGTCACAATGCCTTCCGTCGGCAACCCCAACGGCCCCTCCAAGAACCGCCTTGCGGCGCGCGCTTCAAGCGCCCGTAAGGAGCGACGCAAGCGATCACAAGCACCCAAAGATAAGGTCGCAAAGGCCGATACTACACGAGGCGCCAGGCCAGGTCTTTTGCCTACGAGCGGACCCAGAGCCAAGGTGAGCGCCAAGAAGGCGCGCAAGATAGAGAAGAGATTGGCGCACGCTATGAAGAGAAAGATGGAAGCTGAGGGAGAGGCGGAGATGAAGGGTAAGTTGCTGCTTGGAAGGTAAGTAACGGAGTGCTGACTTGAATAGATGCACCAGAGGTTGAGGGTGAGGGCGAGAAGGCCGAGGAGGTTGAGATGGGCGACATTCAGTGAGGGAAAGTTGACGGGGAAAGGAAGGAAAACCGACAAATGAACAACAAATGAAAAAGAGTTCCGAAGAGGAGCTGTTGCAACGACGATAACAGCTCGCGAAGAGACTCTACCACGAGGCGAACCTCACGACGAAAACGAGCCTTCGGAATGAAAGGCATACCTGAGATGAAGGACTGGACGAGGCTGGAAAACTGCTATAGATGGCACGGAGGAATCTGCGCTTCAACTTCCATAGGGCCAAAGGTCGAGGTCCCAAAGTTACATATGCAGGGAGCCGTAGATCATCTGAAGATCAACTGAATTGATGATAAATCTTCCAACTGTGTCTGGCCGAACCCATGATGGTAACAATTGCATGGTGAAGTTTTTGTATGGATATTTATGCTGCAATCATGCAGAGACAAGAGACAGTTGGCGGCTGTCCTTCTGGAATGTTGGATCGGCCGTGATTCACTTACCTCTTCTTTCAATAGCTCAACCTCCATCTTCAATCTTCAATCTTGAACCTACCTACCTTCATCTCTATCTTCATCACCGCACCACAACCCGCCAAATCAATACCGAAATCGCATTTCTTCAACTCAGGCGCTAACCCACATTTCTTCTTATCTCTTCTCACAGCTAGTAGCTTCTTCTTTACATCTACAAAACCTCAACTTGGAGCGCTCTCGCCCTCCCACCACAACATGAGCACCTCATTGTCTGCCGAATTTGTACAAAATGTCACTCAGCGATTAACGGAAACTGTGCTCCTTAATCTGATGAGCGCAGACTTCAAAAACCACATCTTCTACAACTCCAACCGCCGCCTCGAGGAAGCGAAACAGAAGGGCATCACCCTCAACGACATCTCTATCGGAGATGACTGCCTTGCTACATGGAGTGGCCGCACTTGGGACCCCGATACAGGTTCCCTGCACGATGCTCTTCAAGAAGACGCCTTGAGTCTTCTCGAAGCGCAGGAGGCTAGCAGTATGGTGCGCAGGGATCTCATCCAGAAGAGCAACCGCAAGCTGGAGGAAGCGCGAGGTCTTGGTATTGCGCTGGAGGACATTCAGATCGGACTGAACTTGCTGCCAGTTTAGGGTGCTGCAGCGGAAGAAGCGATCCCGTTTCTGCTCGAACACAACGAAGAGGACGGACACCACAGTTCTCCTGAGGGCAGCATCCAAGACGATACAGACATTTCTGAGGGAACTCTTGTCAACATCAACACCGGAGACTCTGACAACGACACGACGATGGTCACAGATGATGCCGAAAGTGCCGGCTCCGACAGTGATTCCGAGATGGAGTTTGCGGTCCTTGGGAATGACAATAATCTCGTCAACGACGAGATTGAAGCATCCAACATTTTCAACCCGGAACCCTCGTATGATTCAGATGATTCAGATGACGAAGAACCAAACATTTTCCACGGAGCTCAAGTCATGGGCGTCCCAGCCCAGCACTCCATCGTTGACCTCGAGGTTTACTTCGCCGAAGACGAGGACGAGGTCCAAGACCTTCCGCAGATGGAGTTGGCTATTGATCAAGAGTCCTACGAACACTACTTTGGAACTGATGGAGCGATCGATCTTGAGGTCGTTGGAGGTCGACTCATCTGCACCGGAGAGCTTTTTGAGGAGGCCCAGGAGATGACACTGGAGGATGTGGCGGATGACATGGAGGTCTTGTCACTCGCGGCTAGCGACGACGAACAAATGGAAGCAGAGGACTGAAATGGGAGCGGCGAGGATTGAGGACTGTCGTGACGACACCGGGAGTGCGACAGAAGCGCATATTCCTTAGCACGAAGCAGAGACTGGTATTTTGCGGGAAAACTGGAAATGGGCATTTCTGAAGAAATGGGACAGAACTCGCACAGATTTGATTCTCGATCATGTCTTGTATCTAGACCCTTATACACAGCCAGTATCTAAAAGCAATTGTTTTCAACACCTTCCGACCAATCCTGTAAAATGACAACCTGAAACATCGACCTTCCTTTCCCTTCAATATGATTTCCTTCAACAGGGGTTTCCTTCGACATGCCATCTCATTCACTTGAGAGCATTCCATCATCCTTCTGTGATCTCAACAATAATACCTTTCACAGTTCATCCTCGCTGACGGGCATTGGCATCTTAGGACGGTACGCTGGCCGCACAAACTTGGATAAACCTTCGACACGCGCGCATGTAGTCTCAGGAGTCTGAGGAGCCTCAGGCATCTGCTGAAACAACTGTGCACTCTGATATACCCGGGAACTCTGGTGAACCTTGCGACCCTGATGAATCTGGGAACTCTGATGAATCTGAGAGTTCCCATAGTGCGCATTGTTCTGGATTTGAGGACTCTGCAAGCCAAGAACCTGGCCAATCTGCATCTCTAGCTTGGCGACACGACTTTCTAGTTCTCGATTTTTTCTTTCAAGTTCTTCCTGCTTATTAATAGAAGGCCCTCGTAGTCGAATCGCCTTCGCAGTCCGAACAGAGGCATTGCTTCGTGCACCTGCTGGATGGCCCGCAGGGTTGCTTCCACGACCAGCAGAAGGGCTCCCCGGGGTGACAACAATGGTCGACTCCTCTGTCTCCATGGGCGTGAGCAATAAGTTCCTCGGAGTTCGCGTCGGGGTTGCGAACAAGTCCATATTGAACTGACGGGACATGAAAGCTGAAACCTCGCCAGCCGTCATGTGAGGTCTAGCGTTCGCATTCAACTTGGCAGAGCGGACGTTGGAATAAGTTTTGCCTGAGCCTTTGCAGCCGAACTTGATGCACACATAAGCACACCCCCCATCCAGAACCATCATGCCCCCGATGTCCTCCACGATTTCTTCCGTAGGCTCCTCAGCTAGAGCATGAAAGTTAGCATTGGCATGTTTTCGGGCGCTGGTGAGATGCTGATAGATAGAGTTCATTCGCTTGCAGCCAGGTTTAACGCAAGTCCAGACACCTTCCTCCATTGAGTACTCCAACCCTTCGAGATTCTCATCTGCAGAGTCGGGCTCCTCGGCCAAGGCATGGCTGTCACCGCTGGCGTGCTTTTTGGCATTGCCCAGATGTGAGAATAGTTTGTTGAATTTTCGGCAGCCGCGCTTGAGGCACCTCCAGCCGTCGCCGTCTTTCAGGGACTCCATGCCTTCGATATGTTCCACAGACTCATCAGATGAAGTTGCAATCTCCTCCGCAGCCATGAGGTGAGTATCAGAGTTGTAGTGACTCTTGGCATTTCCAAGCCCTTTGATGACAACATTGAACTTCTTGCAGCCTTGCTTGGTGCATTTCCAGAGCAATCCATCCTCCGCAACCTCCATCCCGTGTACCGCGCTCTTCTTCCAGACTTCTTCGCCTGATTCATCCGCGTATGTAAACCCCAGGTCTTCTTCCGCCCGGGCGTGACCGAGTGATCTGCTATGCTGCTTCATAGCGGCATAAGAGTCAAACTGGAAACGAAACCGGGGGCATTTCTCGTTGACGCATCTGCCCTTTTTGCCACCGGCATAGAACTGAATTCCGGGCAAGACATCTCTATCACTACTGTAATTGAGGTCATCGTCGTCGAATTTGACATACCATCCATCACGATGCTCTTCGTCTTTCAGGTGGTTGAAAAATGATTTTGCAGTACTAAAGACTTCCCCGTGTCGGTGGCAGCGGCGGGAAGTGCAGCGGAATGAACGAAGACCTTCCTGCTCAGCCAGGAGCGCGGAGGTAGTTGGGATGCCCGAGAGCAAGACTTTGTTCAGATTCGAGGCAGTTCGATGAGCACCTGTGTCTGCGTGACGGTTGAACTCAGACTTGCATTTGTAATCCGTACCGTAGTGTCGGCAACAGGGCTCGTTACAGATGTTTCCATCAGATTCGAAGGGCCCAAAAACATCATCTTCTGCGCTTTGATGACCAGAGTTGAGAGATGGTGTGAAAACCGAGTCGTTATCATCTACAGTCTCATCCGCAAACCAGTATTTGTGGCCACTTGAGTTTCGAACATGCTCGAGAAAGAGGGGATTTGTGTTAAAAGCTTCTCCGACCATCTCGCAGTCTTCATCCTCACAAATCCACTGGGTGTTATGCTTACTTGCACTGGCATGTCGCTGGAGTGCAGGCTGAGCAGCAAAGTTCACATGACATTGCCCGCACGCGTAAGGACCTTGGTGCCAGTTCTTGTCGTGCTTCTAGCACTCTTCGGCAGAGGCAAAGATCCAGCCATCGCAGTGAATGTAGGGACAAGTGAAAGTGAACTGCTCCTCTTCATTTGGGCACTCGTCGCCGACATAATAGCCTTCAGGCGCTCGGTAAAGAGGCTCGTCATCGAGTGACATGACAGAAGGAGTATCTTCACTAGAAGACATTGCCGCACAGGTTGACCGCGGAAGTCTGCGTTTGTGTGAGTGTGCGGTGTTTGTTTCTGTGACCCGAGAAGGAGGGGTCATCACGAAGGAGGAAAGTAAAAAGGAGAAGGCAGTTTGTTTACGCCAGGGTCCTTGTTTGGGTGACTGATGGGCTTGTGTAATTGTCACTGTCACTGTCAGCCTGACTTGGGTACAGCAAAGGCTGTTCTATCACGCACAACGCAAAGAACCCAATTATTCTAAAGAAGAAAAATGATAATGACAATGAGGAAGGAACCCTTCCATCCACGGTGGGCCAAAAGTAGCTGCACTTCAGTGCATGGCAATGATAGCGGTCAACTCGAGCTTCGTTTTCAAGCAACAACATCCGGTATGGTGTAGTGGCTAACATTTCGCGCTCTCATCTTCAGCTGAGGGATCAGTACCGCGGAGCCCAGGGTTCGATTCCCTGTACCGGAGTTCTTCTTCTTTTGCGGTTCTGGGGTCTTCTGTTGGCTACAAGTTTTATGCGTCCTTCCTCTTTTTGCCCTCGGCCGTGGATTTATGGGAGATATTGTTGTGATGTTGGAGGCGAGGAGTAAAGAGAACGTGACTAAAGAGTAGGCAGTTATTAATCTGGAACAACCTCAAGCTTCAAGGCAAGAAGGCAAGTTATTAAAAAGCGTTACTAAGATTTTACGAGTTTCCATAAGTCTTAATGTAAGTTAGGACCGAGATCCTAAGTCTAGACCAGCCTCCTCAGTAACAGGACTTGTACCACCGAAGGAACATATACAGTCTTGTTAGGGCGGGCTGTACACCTCACCTATACAGAGCATCTAGGTTCATTTGTACTTATTCATTCCAAACAAGGTAACTAAAACTCAAGACAAAGGAGACTACAGCTTAGTAGGTTTACCCAACAGGTCACACGCTCAACTACCCCCATGCTTCCTCTTTAAATGCCTTTTCAGATGATCTCGTCTCGCAAAATACTTTCCACAGTGCCTACATTTGGGCTCGCTCCGACTAAGGCCCATCTTGACTGCCTCGTCTGGGTGGTTACTCCAATAGTGCCTCTCCAGATCGCGCCTCCACTGATGCCCCTTTCCGCAGATGTGACACTTCTCAGGCTTATCTTCTTTTCGCTTCTGTCTTCTTGAAGGAAGTTTTAGTATAGGCGAATTACTGATGTAAATCTGGTAAGGATGGCTTACTTCAAGTCACAGGGTCTAGTGCCTGGTTTCATCTTCGTTCTTCGTCTCCTGGTTGGTGTGCTTGATGCGTTTTCGGCATTTTTTGCCGATAAGGGGTCGGATATTTGTGATTGCGACAGTCCTGTTGGACTGCTTTGAGTCGTCGGGGAGGAAGAATTTGTGTAAGTAGTGGAATAATCGGATTGCTCTGTGGTTGTTATAGAACCAGCAATGGTAGTAGTGATGGGATCAGTGGGCATCGTCATGAAGTCCCAGTTCGTAGGTAAGATATCAAGATAAGTATTATCTAGAGCTGGTAGCTCTTGAGTGTTATATAAAATTGGGTTGATATGATTGGAGTAAATGTCAAATGAGTTCGCATTGACTGAATCGATTGCATCTGCAAAGGTTGTTTCCTGGTGTACGTCGGCAAACGCTGCGTCATTCGTATCATATGGAGCATTCCATGGCAAGTTATCCAGGTCATGGCTTGCAAAGTCTACGACGAAGTCTTCTTCACTCATGAAGAGCAGATCATCGTCGGGGACCCGTGCCTCCATTGTCTGTCGGGTTGTACGGGGCTTGCCACCAGTGGCTACGCCCAGGAGATATATGTTGGCAATTCGAGAATTAGAGATTTTTGATGAAGAAGATTTCGAAGGAGGAAAGTAATAGGACACCTTTTTACGACATATCCGGGTCCATTAATCGTGTTGGCTGACACTGTAAGTCCACTGCCGCATCGAGGGAGCAAGAAGCCGACGTACCCAAGCAAAAAGTGAAAAAGCAATACACAACAATGAAACAACTCCTTTTGAGAGGGTTCGATTGCGCGCGTTGCTGATACACATTCCGGGCATCTGGCTGGATCTTGAAGATCTACAGGTGCATGTGTCGGGGTAACACAATGGCGGGACTGTAGGTCTTCAAGATCCAGCCAAAATTGGTGTGCTAGGGGATACAGCCTGAAACGTATGTTAGACTTCCTCTTGAAAGATTCCTGGCAGTAACTCACGTTCGCGCGCAGGCCCTACAAGCTCACCACGCATGACTGGTACCGGGTATCATGCGTGATGAGCTTGTAGGATTGCTAGCACCGCCAGAAAACCCGCGGTACGACCACAACAGCTGTAGCTACTCATCCTGTTGTGGCCGGACCGCGGGTTTTCAGGCGGTGCTAACACGTGGGATTATTATCGGGACACCAGGTCTCGAAAGCACAAAAACGAATTCGATGATGATGATGATGATGATGATGAAGAAGAAGAAGAAGAAGAGAGGGAAGGAACAAGGCGAAGAAGCACTGGGTATTTATGCTGATCAATGGCGAGTTTACGGATGAGCCGTGGATGGCTTCTCATTGGCAGGTCTGGAGGCCTTTGCATATATTCGTGAGGGGCAACGTCATATGATGGTCGGCCTCCCAGACTAACATGTCTTCAAATCTCTCACTTGGGGACATATGAAGAAATGGACAAAACAAACACACAGAACTTGAAACTGAAAGCTATCTGATGTCCTATTGCTTATGACATACTCTTGAGTACCCAGAACTTGGCTGATGTCTTGAATAGGAGCTACAAGCAGCCTGAGCCATCTCCTTCGTAGACTGAATCAGTCTTATGTCGCTGTGGACCTCCTTATTCTTTTGCTCCTTGTTGCCATAGTTGTCTTTGTCTCCGCTCTTGACCTATGCCTCGTGTGGCTATCGTGTCGGCTCTCATCAGTTGAGTTAAGAGTACGAGGGCGGATGAATGAGGCAGTGTCCAACGTCCCAAAGCTATCCATGATTGAGTTCTGACTGGCGCTCTGGCACATGCACTCGTAGATGCGCTTGGTCGTGTTTATGGCTTTTTCATAGTTTAGGTCCTTACTTATGCTCGTGGTCTGGTCGTGATTTTCGCTCGTAGACCTCCCCATCAACATCTACGCATCAGTAAGTGGAATCACGTACTTAAAATGCTTCATGTCAGAGCCCGTCATCAACATCATTCACCTGCCCCAGACTATGATCTCGATCGCGTCCGCGTTATCAGCTGGTAGTATGAGCCAGTCCACGATCATGACAGGACTGTGTCGTACCAGGGCACTGCGGGAGGATCCCCTAATTCGATCACACACGTCAACTCGTCCTTATGCATGAACTCATTCGCGTTGCAGAACAGAACATGACCGCGAATCCATTTTCGCTCCAGTACGTGTACTCGTACCAGAAAGTCTGTCCGTCTAACCCCATGCAGTGGGCCTCGACTTGGTCAGGTTCGGGGTGTGGGACATGGAAATCGTCGAGGTTTTCGCCGTTGAACAACTAGTTCTCCGCGTCCATCGTCCTGCAAGTGCCCATAACCTCAAACCAGACGTAAATTGAGCTTGTTAGTGTAGTCGTCCTTGGCCGGGTCCAGTATCCTCTGCAGGAGCCTGGGCACGCCCGACCCGACGAGCATGATCCTGCATCCGCTGTTGTACATATACATATTTATATAACAGTGATCGAGTGCCAGATCTTGAATGTTTGTGTATGTGCCTAAGGCCCCGTGGATGTTCACGTTTGGGTATTTGTCTGGTGGTAGTATAAGATCTTAACTCTGCCGTTGTTCGGGACTATGGCATATGACTTGGGATTACTTCCCATCAGTGCGTTGATGGCAATTGACTTATTATACCCCTTGCCGTGATTTGATATGTCGATCACCTTTTGTTATATGAACCTTGGTCGTCTTCGTATATTAGGGCCGTGGAGCATGCGAGCGGGACCATGTTCTTGGGTGCGCATGTATTCGGGAGGTTGACTTCCCTCTTAGCCGCGATTCTGATCATGCCGTCCATGACGTTCACGCAGGTACCCAGCATCATCTCCGTCCCCATAAACCTGTACAGACCCGCCAACCCATGCCTGCTCGTGATAGCGCTCACTATCTCGGCCTTGCCCCTAGTCACGCATAACTTCCAAGAGGTGTTTCACATCATGATCTTGATATCTACTTCCACGACTTCGGCTTTAAGAGCATAGACTCGTATATGTTCCCGCCCTTGTGCTCGCCCATCTACTTGAACGTCATGGTGGTCAGGACCGCTGGTTCAATCCTCGTCTCGATCTTGTTCTTAACGGCGACGTTGGACACGCTTTAAACGCTCTAGAACGCGGGCTTGGGCGGATCATCGATCCAGAACTGGTGCCACCTCGTCTCTGACTCCTTTCTTCCCACAATGACTAGACTGGGTTATGTACGCCCACAACCACTCCTCATCGCCCGTCGAAGTCGAGGCTCGCCAGATAGTAGAGCTCGAGTGGGGTTCTAATCAAGCTCACACCCGGGGCTCCCACACCGACCTTGAACTTGACCGACACAGTGCTGTTGGGCCCCTGAGACGGACAAGTACCGATCGCAATCGCGGCCCCCTCCTTCATCTTGCGCATACTACACTTCCAGTCCTCGGCCACATAGGTAAACAAGATCCTATCCGTAACCCTCCTCAGAATCTCAATCCATCCCGCATCAGCAACCACGTACTTGTCGATCTTCCCGAACTTAATCCCGGGTACAGGCAAGGCCACCAACCTGCTGCGGATTAAGGGCCCTACACCCATTATTCTGCTTCTTTAGGAGACCCCTCTTGATCTCAACCTTGTCGTAGCAGTGCTTCGCGAGTTCGGCCACGGGCTTGTCGCCGTTCATAACCATCTGGTTTATCATATTCGAGCATAAGGACTCATGTTGTCCTGAAAATGTCAAGTGGTCACCTGGAGGTGTGATTATGAATTCAAGCTACAGTGACTCGGCCCAAAGCAGCGTCGCTGCCCCTTTCCTCAACCTACGTAGTGTACGCGCAAAAGATAAGCATACTAGCCTGTCTTGAATTCCAGGAGCTTAGGTATCTTGACTCACTTAACGGGCATGCCTTGGCATTTGTCTATCCTATTGATGTCTAGTGTCGCGCTGTCAGGCTTGCCATCCAGCTTTGCACCGCAGACTGCGAACACCTCGAAATCTGTGTGCTTGAAGACATATAGGCTCCACGAACGACAGCGGATGCGGGTCTTGTGAACTTCGTGTAGAACGAAGTTTTTGAAGTGACTCTTAATTCAATATTGTGACAAAATGACTGAAAAACAATATGTATTGATTCATCACCGAAGACATGCGCCGCCGACGCGTGGTGTTACTTGTCATTCTGAACATCGTCGCAAGCCGCCGAAACGACAAGTTTATCATGCATACTGGACTGAGTGAATTGTACCAAAAATGGTGACGTTTTAAGCAAGATAAAACTTGCGAAGAAAGAGCACACAAGGATAATATAACTCAGACGACTGACCAATTGCCTCGACTTAATATCACGCGCCACTGACTGTCTGCATTGCCTTCATGCCAAGTAACGATCATTGTAGGGCTCTGCAAAAAGCCCCTCTGAAAGTTCCTCCATCTCATAGCTTTCCCTCAAGATACTTTCCCAATCAAGCACATCAGTGGTAACGTCGAGGAAGTCATCGCTGTGGCCCATACTAAAGATCGATAAACGGTCTAGAGTCGAGACTGTAGACACTTCGGATTCATCATAAATCTTTTCCCAGTCCCAAGGCTGGTCGAGAGTGAAGTCGCACTGGATTATGGCACTCCTCTCGCTCACAGGAGCGACTCCTCCGGTTGAGTTCCTGGTGGGAAATGGATATTCGTGGTGGCTGGATGGGGCGACCAGGCGGTAGGCGATACAATCCGTCATGTTAGCCGTGAGCCAGGCAATATAAGGTTTCATAGATGCAGAAAAGACCTCGGTGGCACGATCCAGACCAGGATAGCCGCTGACAATAAGGGAATATGAGTCTGAAGGCAACCCTTCTTTCATGGCCTCCAATAGATGCAGAATGAATCTGGTAAAGGCTTCCCCTATATCTCCGGGTACTATCTGATGCAAATCTGGAGTATCATCGAAAACCAGAGGGGGAGCTTCAATATGGGACGTAAGAGATCGGATTCTGTAGTCATCGCCTCTGGCAAGGATATTTCGCCAAAGATTTAGACGATGCTCAACATGGAGCTTCGGATTTTCTAGACAAAAAGGAACCATGCCTATCATATGAGACTCAGGAAAGGCAGCTGCAGGTCGATCTTCATTGAGGATTAGCTTAGATATCAAAAGGCGCTGTTGTCGAGAAAGCAGCCCGAGGAACCTGATTGCTTGAGCGGCAGCCGAGAACCAATACTTTCGTTTGTAACGATATTTTGGGCCATTATAGCCTGGATTGCCATAGTGTAAATAGTACCACGCATCCCCGTTCTGCCAGTACTTGGTGTTCTGCATTAGATTCGCCATCCTTCTGACTTCAGACCGAGTAGGCATCGCCCATGAATCGAACCCGAGATTGAAGAATTCATCAATTGAATACGAATCATTCCACCCCGGCAAGATTTCTTCGATAGCCTGGGAGAATTCTGCGGGGTGCTTGTCTGCAAGTTGTCGTAATAGGTAGGACCTCGTGCGCTTCAATGCCACCGTGCTGTCATCTCCTCGTAATCTTATTGAGGGGACCCCAACTCTAGATCCAGCACCATCTCTAAATTGTTGAGCATCAACAAAGGCGCGAGAGTTTCTCACTTCGGTAGAAAGCTCAGTACGTCGGTCCCAGATCCTGATGAACTCTGCAACTTCTTCCATCACAATGGGCATGTATTGAGAATACTCAGGACTGGGCTCCTCGTACATATCAGGTGTCAAAAGTCGACCAAGCCGAAGGATCATTCCCCGTAGGAGTTATATGTGGTAATGAGCTATCTGATTAAGCATAAGGGCCTGTTTCCTCCAATCTGGCCGGTATACCGTCGAAAAGGTGATTGGGTTGAGAGTGAACGGGAGATGCCGCGTCTCGGAGGCGATGGAGCGACATGCTAATATCAGCGATATCTGAACAGTCTGGCCACTGGCCTGGAGCAGCTTGTCGCCATCTGAGACGTAGCCGCCATCTGCCTTGAAGTAGTAGTAATAGATTTGGTCGCGCAGCTCCAAAGGAAGGCCCAAAAGGCTTGCCCTTGGCACGACGGAAGAGGCCATGGGAGACATTGTGGGGGAAAGGTTTGTGAAAGTATAGGAAAGCAATGATAAAGATGATCTGTTACAGATGTGAGGGGCGGATTTGGGGTAAAGCTCTTATAGACGATGGCTACAGTGAAAAGATGACTCACAAAGCGGCAACCACAAAACTTTACTGGCAGCACATAAAAACTCGAAATAGATACAGAAAGTTAATAGGCTACGTTATCATATTTATGCATCAGCTATCAGGTCTATCAACTCAAAATACCCCCTCTCCAAAATACACTTCAGGCAGTACTTGGTGACTCAGGGGTGAATGGTGGCTGCGCTGTGCTATACGGCTGAGTAACTGGGACAAGTCGGAGGAGCAAAGGAGCTCGACATACGAGGGGAGGTTGAACTGGCTGGATGTAGCTGCGTGAGTCACTAAATCTTGAGAGCTTTAAGTTGAAGAAAGCCGGAGGCATTAGATGTTTTTGGCTTGCATTTTACTGCACCAGGAGGAAGCTGCTCAATAACCGGGCCGAAATTTATGCTCAATTGAACCGGATCTTCTGGCTCAGCTGTCGTTTCTCAGCTTGGGTAATAATGCCCTCAGCAGTAGTATTATTGTTGAAGCCTCTTGAGCTTTTGCATTGCGTTGTGCAAGTGAGCCATCAGAGACTTTCGACCTTTGTATTCAGCAGTGCAACTCGACAAAGAGAGGAAGAAACAGACCAAGTAACTTCGTTTTCCTTTTTGGACGAGGTTTCTATGTACATAGAGCTTTCTGAGTCAAAGCCGACTGTTTTTCTGCCTCAGTAGTTGTGTCGAGAGTTGATAGGCTGTCCCATAGCATGAGAGGTCTGTATAGAGGCGTGGCTGGGGGGAAAGACTTCACTAACGCGTTCCAAGATGAATGTTGGTGTTGGGATAGCTCTGGGATATAATACGCCAGGGGATCATGCTTCACATGTCTCATGTTTGGAATCGACCTTGACGCCCATAGTTGCAGTTTGTAGAATTGTACAATAGCCGTGAAGAGAATTGATAAGGCCAATTTTCTGTCTTCTTTCAGTGGAAAGAGATCTTGTGCCAAGAATTGGGGCATGCTTGCCAGACAGCAATTATAGTCGGATCGCGTCTGGAGCTCCGTAGTCTTATGACATTGTGATCTGTCGCAATCTTTAATACAAAAACAGGGTCATGCGGCCATAGTGTTGGTCGAGGCCCTAAGACTGTTTTGCACTTCTCATTGTGGCCCTCCTCGTGGAAAAGCCAGGTTGTAGTTGTGTCAGTTTATAGATGTGTCAACATCGTGTTGATTTTTCCCTCTTTCGCTCACCTTTGACTGGTACGAGCAATGCGTTGGGCGGCTGGATCAGCATCTCTGCTTCCTCAATCAGGACTGTAAAACCCCATGGGTACCTCCCATGTCTCCAGCTCCTCAGAGACAGGCATTATGGCTTGGCTAAGTCGCGAACTGGCCTTGAACATATCCGAGCTATTGTAAAGCTTGTAGTGATGGATGAGGCGCTTCTATTGGGTTTGTTTCAGAGAGACGTTTGAATCACCACCCGAATCGACGTCCACACCGTCGTCCTCAGCACATGCTTGAACGGGTCGCTTTGCGCCATGATTAGACGGAAAACAATTGCAAAGCCCCGCTACTCTGCTTTCCTGATCAGAGCTACGTATAGTATTGTGTTCCTGAACAAATAAGCTTGGTCTTTGCATCGACTCGACGCCGGTGCCGCCACCCTGTCGCGGCGCAGACCTCTGGGTTCGATGATGGCTTTTCCGATTGCCTGGATAGGGAATGAAGAGATGATGTGCCGATTCAAAATCCATTCTGGCTAGGGAAGGGAAGATAGCTGTCGGCTGCCGTGTGGCTCGAGAAATATTGACCATATTCGTCGCAGCTGGTCTGACATCTGGATTGAGCATTGGCCTGCAGGAACAGGATCCATCCCCCCATGTCAACGGAGACGTTCAGCTGATGGCTTGACTTTTCTCTAACCAATCTTCATTAAGTCCTCAGTTGGCACTTCGATCTGTCACTGTGGTGAAGCAGCTTTTGAGATAGTTAATATTGGGTGAATGCGCATTCTTGGTAGCCTATTACTTTTGCAATGTTGATTCCAAGATGAACCGAGGCCCAAGATCTATAAATAACTCGGCTTACATCACTTCGCAGGTGATTAGGTTCACAGTCATGCCCCATCGTGCGATTCTGGGCGAGCCAGCTCTTGCACCAGAAATTCACAAGTTCACTGCAACGTGGTCTCAGGGGGTGCTGTCCCAACGTTCTTCACGACTAAACTGGAAAGGGTACACTTGGTAGCATTCCGGTAGAGTAGGTCTTATATAGGCTGGAACTTTCCGGGAATGGCTTCTCATTCTTAATAGCCAGTAAATAACCTGGTTCGATAAACCAGAGCGATATGCCTCAACTGTGCTGTCTTATTTGGGTGCAGACCCGACCCCAGAAATGACACAATACTTTCTGCAGTATTCTTTGAGATTTCCTTCAGCTTTAAGTTGATGCTTGATGTGTTATAAACGTTCTTGGCCGCCAGATTGCGGGGGAGTGACAATTTGAAGAGGGCAAGGCCAAGGCCCAATACAAAGACCCAAAGCATGAACATGTAGCTCTGTTCGTCAATTTTTCGTAAACCTTCTAACTTGACTCCATGACCGACCAAATCGTGTTTCTATCATGTGTGATTGGACAGATACTATGATCAAGGGGCCTCTGTGGACAATGTTGCCGCGACTGACAGTGGGAGGTCTGCCAAGGCAACATGGCTCCATCCTGTCTTCCGTGTCGGAGTTGACGGCAATAATCGTCGAACAGTCCTCGATGATGACATACGAAGTTACGAGAAGTGGACCTACACACTCGTACCCTCTGTGAAGGGAAAGTCAGCGCCGCTAGGTTGAAGCGAAACCTCATGTGCTGGATCGGAGCCGTCAACGAACTTCCTGAAGCGAGGCAGCAGATGTTCTTTTCATCCTCGAAGGTTGGCAACGGGCAGCTTCGGCACTATTGAGGTTTAGACAGGAATCTGTTGAAAAAAGATGGCCTTTCCCTCGTGCATCTGGGCCTTCACTTTAATCCACTAGTGCAGTGTCATCGTTTGCTTGTATCTGTAGATATGCCACGGCACTAGCCACCTCAGGCTACTATCGATCTGAGAATAACATCAAATTGCCTTGACTGGCAAAGTTATCACTCCTGTCCAGGGGTGAGGGGTTCATCTTCCCCTTGTTTCCCAAACTGCCTGCCGCGTGGATGCATATCACACCCTCGCGACGCGCAAGCCTAGCTCGCCCTGAGGATAACTATGTGAGAGAATATCCGGTCGCTCTCTTGTGGTGCGAAACTGACTGCGACGAGAACTACAAGCCAACCGATTGGGCTCTTCGGCACCTTTTGTGCTCATAATATCCTCTCATGTTTTACCGTCTCTCTGTTTCTCACCACGCTGGCAGTTGACAGTTCTGTGGGTCTCGTGCTAGGAGTAAACATGTCGCAACGTGGTCTAGCCTGCGGCAAACGGCGTCGTGATCTGGTTTGGAGACGCCAATCTCAATGTTGGGCCGTGAAGAGCTTAAGTGAGACTTCGCAGGAATTCCTGAGATGACGGAGATATGAGCAGGTAAACATGACGAACCGCTATATCGCAGCTGTCAACTCGCCAATGTTTTCTAATAACAGCCCACAATCTGGTGGTATTTTCCTTACGGTGAATCCATACTTTGATGTCTTGCAGCCTTCTCTTTTGCTGCTCTCTCTTCTGTAGCTGATTTGCTGAGCGCAGACCATAAAGTGATATCTCGAAAAACTTTGACAGATCATGCCGATACGCAAACCTTGCATCTGCCACAACAAGTCCTTTTGCAATCATATAGTTTAAGAATAAAGCCTGGTCTTTATTCTCATCTTCACTATCTTCGGCGATCTCGTCAAGTCTGCCATGGTTAGCCTGGATTTGAGACTCGAGCTCCTTCCTTTTGGGCTTCTCCTTATCCGGATTCTCCTCCTATATCTTTGGCGTAGCATTTTCCTGGGCACGTTTTTTTCCTGATATGGCATACTCTAGCACTCGTAACACTGCAGTTCGCCCTGGTCTTCGCAGTATAGATCGAGCTCAAGGTCGTCTTCGAGCGTCGCCGGGTTTGAGACAGCGACGCCCGGAATTCGACTGCTCAACTCCAAAGATTGATCACGATAATACTTGTATGTTATAGCGATACCCTACAGCTGCGTAGATGTCACTAATGGTGCGGCAGCCAGCAGACATTGAAGCTGATCTGCAAGGGCGTGGGAAAGCTGGGCACTGAACGAACGGATGACTGTAGTCTCTCTCGCCCAGCCAGGCTCATCGATTGAGATGACTGAAGTAGTGGTCCGTTATAAGCTTTGAACTCCTCGAGTTCAAAGAGCTTCCTACCGCGAAATCACGCCTGGTGGAGTTCTCTCAGCAGTTTTCATCGTGGCAAGAGGGCACGATGCCCTTTACTCGCCTTCAGACTGTTTTCACTGACTCTGACCACCGGGCGCGATATCGAGAGGTCAACGCATCGTCTGGAAATGGGACACCAAGAACGTTAGCCTCATTTGCATGGCAAACAAGCTGACAGGACATCCTAAGCGTTAACCTCGCTGGCAGTCAGCGACTACAGACAAGCTGTTCGTTCAGATGCCTCTCAGACCAGCTGGTAGGCCATGTCATGTGGAGTCCGCCACTCAAGGCCGACGACGGCCAGTATCATCCAGAATGTTCAACTCGAGGTAACAGGGTGTCGCTCGGCCAAACCCACCTGTGATCAGGGTCGGGTAGCCGTGCTTGCGGAAGAAGTAGTGGATCGTGCCCTGGGGCATGTAAATGGTCTGTCGAGGATGAAGGATCAGGTAACGTGCCTGTCGCTTGAAGGACAGTGGACCCTGTTCCCACTCCAGCCACGATGGCCTTAAAATCCTTATATCAGTAAGATTCACTTCTATCCGGCCTGGAGACTACTCACCGTCAAGTAGTCCTCTATCGGTTCTCTGACCACAGTCATTTCCGAGTCTATCAAGTTCACAGCCTTGCCGACAGTTGGGTCAAAGACCCCATTGATGTGACCACTATCTTCGAGGGACTGACGACCAAGGGTATACGCACACATACCAGAGCAGGTGGGCAAGGCTTTGCTCGCCCAGCTGTCAGACTTGACGATGTGCGTTCGCGAATAGCCCGCGCGTGTGATCTGTTGCCGCAATGTTGAAACTCATGCTGTGCCTTCTCCTGGTACTTGGCGAAGCGGTCAGAGTGATCATCTCGTCGAGGGTGGGTACGGTCGAGACACCGCCGTCAGATTGGCCTTCTATCCGAGCTTCCCTGAGGTAGCTCTTCTCGAGAGCTAAGTCTCTGGTTGCTTTGGGGTCATAGCTTTTGCTCATGTTTCTCCTACTGCCGACGTTCTTTGTTAGGCAATTGTCGCACTGACCGCATTCAATATGAAGTACATACCAATGCAATACCATAAACAGTGCAAAGAATGTAGAGAGTGCTACACTGATGGATCTGACGCGCTTCAGCCCTAGAAGATGACCTATCCCAGTGTAGACCAAGGGTAAACAAACAAGATGATCTTCAAGAAGACTCGGAAAGACATGGGCCGCCCCCTCAAGGCCCAAATATAATACAAAAACAGCACGGCCAGGGGGAGCCGCACTATGACAATTGAAGAGAAGAAAGGAAGGAAGAAAAGGAAAGGAAAGGAGGAATAGCCGATATGTATACTCGATTTATGGGATAGGAATAACAATTCATTCCAAGTCTATCAATTCCTAAAGATACGGATGTCAGTGGTCGGGTAGTGGTTAGGTACGAAAGATGGACATTGTCTCCGCCATAACGGGAAGAATGTCCTGATATATACACGTACGGGCCAATGTGTATTGCTCCGAAGAGATTACTCATGCGCATTCGTCAACTTGTGAAAAGTAGCCGCCATTATGATGTGTACGATCCGCATGTTGAGCTTGGGCACGGCTTCGTGCACGACAAGTTGCGTTTGCTGATATTCTAGATACATCACCAATGCACAACTGTATATGCACTCTAAACTTGTTTTACCTAAATACCCCCAGTACTCAATTAGAGTCTTGAATCATTACGAGCCGAGTTTTATTGTCACTCGAGAGGCATTTGCCTCTCCTAAAGCTAACGCTGAGTCAACTTCAGTCATTTGACATCGCGACAGTGTCAATCACAATCCTTTCTCCCAAATAAGTAAGGGTTCAGGTCTATATACTAGATAAGCAATCACTTGCACTGAATACTCGTAGCTCTAATGCAAAGGTAACAGCCTCTTCCTCGGTGTACCTGTCCATTCGCCTGATGTCTCGTTGCCACAGATAGCCAACCTCAACTCGCTCGACACCCTGATCAGGCATCACAACATCGCTAGAGATGCCGATCCAGCCATGGTTTTACAATATCTCAATCATATAGGCCCTCATCTTCCCATACCAGGCATCAGTTTCACAACGCTTCCCGTTACTGCCTCGTCATCTTCCGCAATGACACTCTCTCCGGTCATTCTCTCAGGGAAGTAAACGGAACGACACCAGAGTAGAAGCCAATTATGACATAGTCAGCGGTGATTTGCAGTCCTGATACCACAGCCCCCTCATCAATGCGTCTCTCGTCCACCGGATGCCTCCGCGGCACCGTTATCCAGCTTTATCCTGTCAAACAACTTTCTTGGGCATACCTACATCATCGGGACTCGAGACTCGGCGTGCCATTTCGATACTTTTGTTTTACTCCAAGTACGTCTCCCCTCGATCCATGTACCAGACTCAAAATAGATCCCGTCGACGCTTTATCACTCAGGGATATCTCCCCAGAGAGGTTCTCTCCCGTCAAGGTCTCGGCAAGCAAACGCGATCCCGCCTCAACTGCATTTTTTTCCACGAATATCTATCCCCGATGCATACATTTGCTTGGGTCAAGTACCCGCATCTGTTACTGAGGTAGATTGGTGGGGTATTGTTCGGATACTGGCCGCCTCGACGGGAACAATAGCTCTCACCGACGCCCCATTGCAGCTCAGGACGTTTGACATATGACTCAACATGCGGCCTGATGTATCGGATCTCGCCCGTTCAAGCTGGTGGCGATATCACAAACAGTCAATCATTACCGTTAATTAATTCACGGCACGGAAATGCTGTCAGCTTGTGCCCCTACTTGTAAGTCGCCACTGTGAGTCTGAGGACTTCACATGTCTCAACTCAGCCAAAAGGCTGTCAGAGGCGGCGGGTAATGTGTGCATAATGATTGGGTCGACAATGCTACCAATAGCTTTGCATTGGTGGATCATTTCATGGCTATAGGTTAGGTTGAAGACAAGGCTTGACTTATGAGAAGTCGTCATGAGACGTGGTTTGCGTCCATGGATGGGGTTATTTGCTCCAAAGGTCAAGCAAGGCTGGGTGCCAGAAATCCCGGTCTGAGTTTAAATGAATCCAATGAAGTGAACAATGTATTTCAACATGATATTCATTATGTACAACCCAGTTTCAGATCTCTAGAATCCTTGCTCTCATGAGGCTTGGTTCAAGGTCACATTCACGTCAAGCTATAAGGAACATCAAAGTGTGAGGCGAATTAGCTTCATTTCTAACCAAGCCAGGCCATGTATCAGCCTGCCTCATCTCTATCTGCTGTGTCTCGTTCAGACCGAGTAACTGAGAATCCAGAGCGAGTGTGGTATCCCCAACGCCGATGATGATATGTAAAAAAAAAGAAAATACTGAGAGCCATCCCTTCCGATGCCATGCATGTCGCACTCCAAACGACGTACAATGATTTGGCCCTGAGGTCACAAAGACCACACGGCGACAAAGCCAAGAACACACAGTCTATTATGCAAACTTGGGTTTCCACTGTGATCCTAATCCCTTCCAGATGCCAGGAGCTAATGGTAAGAGCAAACAACAAAAACATCCACACTGCCCATCACGCCGTTCATCCCGCATCCCGAACCGCCTTTCTGCGATCGAGGTAAATTTCGTATTTCATAAGACATGTTTCGTTTCGTCAGGTGTATGAAACAATAGAACAACAAATATCAATGCCAAGGCTGAGAGGATAAATAAAACCAGATATGGTGGAATACATGCGTCAAACGCCGTGAAATAAAGTCCGAGTGCGATCCACTGAGAGGTCGACTTAGCTGTCTAGGCAGCATAGGCTTCGTTACGGTATGGGTACTCGCTAAATTGCACATCGCCGTAACTTGAAGTCTTGACCTTCGAGGGGTAGTAGCCACCAGAGTAGCTAGCATCGCGAGAAGGCATAGAGGGACGCTCAACAATGCGAATACCGGGTTGGCTGGGGTAATATGCGTAAGCTTCCTCGGCTGGGGTGGCGCGTGAGTATGAGTTTTGTAGCGTTGTACGGCCTCCTTCATTAACTCGGTACTGCATCACATGTTCGCCACGCGACTCAGGAGAGCGGTGCTTCTTGCTGCTGCGGTGAGATTTACGTTCGCGTCGGTAACGTTCATACTCATCCTCGTCGTCACTCTCAGGGACCTGAGCTTGCATCCTTGTGCGGCCACGGCCGCGGAGGTCGGGTTCAGGATATGCGCCACTGAAGGTTTGAGCTCGAGAGATGCCTGGGACGTGACGACTGTAACCCTCATTGGGCATAGTATTCGTCCGTCTGGGAGGAGATGTGGTGGGTACGCCAGTAGCTGTGGCTGACTTTTGCATATGAGGACGAGCAGTAGGAGGAGTGGCCTCGATAGGATCATCGACAACCTCAGGCTTGTAAGCCTTCTCGCCGGTGGATCCGCGTCTAGGTTTGGCGGATGATCGACGGGCATCGTCATCATCAGCCGGAGCTGCGAAAGGAGAGCCGACTGGAGGGGGAGTAGGAGCGGGAGGTTGCACCATGTGTCGAGAAGCGTATGAGCCTTTACTTCTAGAGGCCTGGATGTAGTTAAGTGCAGCGTTGGTCTTATCCTGGTATTCCACGGGAATGGGTGGCGGGTGCATTGAGCTTGTCGTGGGAGGGGCCTCCTCACGATGTGATGATCGATCACGCTCGCGTCGCTCATCGTGCTTCTTGCTGGACTTCTTCTTCTCAGACTTTGATGAGATGGGCTCGCCATCGAAGGTCTCAATGTAAGGCTGCTTATGTCGCTTCTTCTCCTCAGTATCTCGCTTGCGAGACTTATCGCGGCTCTTCTTCTCGGCACGTCGCGCTTCCTTCTCGGCCTCCTTGTTCTCCTTCTCAGCACGGCGAATGGCTTCGTCGGCTCTTCGTCGTCGCTCACGCTCACGCTCCTTCTCACGAAGTTCTCGAGCATACTCCTTCTCTCGCGCTCGTTCCAATTCTTTCTCCCTCTCCCTCTCTTCGCGCTTTGTAGTCTTATCTTGATAAGACTTTTCCCTTCTCACAGTTCGAACTCCCTCGAAGATATCAGCAGCGCGAGGATGCTCATCCTCGTAAGAACGAGAATAAGAGGAATAACCTCTGACGGGCGATGGCTGGCGGTCCGTCTTGTGTGTGCGGTCATTAGTGCGAATTTCGTATTTATATGTTGTAGATGTAGGCGTAGGTCGACTTGATGAGGGGCTCGCGGTGGCTGAAGCAGAAGGGCGAGTTGATGCGCTCGCAGCAGCCTTTGCCCGCATCTGCTCGCGGAGTTCTGCTAACCGGGCCTGATCATCATAGCGTTTTCGTGCCTTTTCATCGGCCAATAATTCGTAGGCGGTCTGAACCCTTTGGAACTCGTCCTGCTTCTGAGCCTTTAATGTTGGGTCTTGAACCTTATCGGGGTGGCACTTGAGAACGAGCTTTCGGTGCGCAGATCGAATCTCGGGCAGTTGCGCATCCTTGGCAACACCCAAGATTTCGTAAGGGTCAGGAGTTGATGTAGACATGTTGGGCGAATTGCTTTCAACTACCGGTTGGGCTGAAGTCGGGTATATAGGTTAACAAATGGTAATCGTGAGGCTGTTATTGCATCGATCCGAAGGTCGTCGGAAGGGCGAGGCTTTGGCGGATCTTGGTGAGGCTGTCAAGGGATAAGGCAGGGCTGGATGGCTTTATGTATATTAGGCCAAGTTTGGAATTCTCCGGATTGGTGTTGTTGTCCAGCGATAGGAGGCGGTCGCAGGATAGGTGGTCTGGGCTTTGGGGGCGGTGTTGGTGTTGGTGTATTTGTGAGTCTCGTCGCCAGAGCAAGGTGAGTGGGTGCTCGGATTTGCAGGGTACCGTAGAGCCAGGCAGAAACTTGTACTCTATACTTGCAAGTGCAGTACTGGATCAAACGAATGACCAGAGTTGGCAGGCGAGGGGGAAAAGAAAAGGAAGAATTTATTTACGTGAGCAGCCGGCTGCTGAACACGAGAGAAAGTGACGATGTGAGTACTTGGTG